CCCTTTATTGAATTTCGACAACACAACAAGAAGATGAAGTTTATCTGAAACGTGTAATGTATTGGCGCAACACATTTCGGACATTCTGATCTCACACGTACTTGTCATATACAGTTTTTATAGAAGGCAAGGAGGCATGGATAATTATAATACAGGTCAGATTGCGTACAGGTCAAGGTCACAAATGATGGGTAGGGAGACGCAAAAGGTGTGGGTAAGAAAGATGAAAAGAGAAACACAAAACAAAGAAAGGGTTGAAAATATTATGAAGTGAATGTTTGTTCAAGCGCATTCACCGTATATGCACTGTCAGTACAATTGAAGAAGGAAGACAACACCTCACTGAGATAACAATTACTCACTGAGATTTATTAGGCGTTACGGAAGCGTCAATCATAGAGCTCTACCAATCCAATCAGCTCCCAAAAGGGATGTGTTACATATCCATGCCGTTCAGAGGTGATCAACAAAGTCTGGTCACTAGGCAAAGACTCAAGGCCGCAATTAATAGAACTTATTATGCAACTAAGCTTATCTTCATAGAGAAAACGAGAACTATGCTGTCCTGCAAACCCTCACATTATCCAAACGATAGTGTCACATCCCACTGTGTTTATCAGTTTACATGTATGTTTGGAGACAAGTACATAGGGAAGACCCATCGGTCTCTGCAGGTTAGGGCTACAGAACACATTCCAAAGTGGCTGCATCAACAAATGAAATCGTCAGATAAAACTGACCCCGGAAATAGATGTCCAACATCATCTATAGGGAAGCACATTATAGAGACAGGTCATATGGTCGATTTCAACAATGCCTTTAAGCCGATAGATAAAACAAGGTTGGGCCACATACTTAAATTCAGTGAAACCTTAGCCATAACTACACGTTTCAGGAAAACTACGTCTTCTTATTCTGTTACTTGAAAAGCTTTCATTACCTTTCTAGGAAGCATCTTCAGCTCATACTTCAATTCGTCGAAGTGAGCTTTTAGACTTCTCCACTAGTTTACAAATCATATCTCCTGGTGAACTTGAAGGTGATTGGTTATTTTTGTGTGTTTTTACACCCTCAATGCTACTTACCTTCGTACTGATTGTTTCCTTGACCTGAAGTTCGACTTTTGGTATATGAGATTTTCCTCTTATGGACTGGTAAACTTTATCTATGTATATGTGCCTGTTAATTCCCCTTTAAGTAGTTGAATAAGGATTTTAATCACCACGTTGTTTTAGTCGATGATGTCTATCAGAGCGATCTTATTTCCCGCTCTCCAGCTGAATGTACCAGTGATGACTGAGACTTGAACTCGACATCCCTATCGTTTCAAACAGCAAAATGTTATGATGATGACAGGACACACTGAGTTGTGAATTCGTCTGACTTGACTAGAATGCGCCTCCAGAACATGATACTGTAACTAACTGGTCATTTAAAAATATCTCCCACACTGAGACAGACTCAAAAGTCAGACTGGAAAAACAGTGAACAAGACCTTCATCAGATAAAATACATGGTATATTATACTTAGAAAACCTCAGAACTTTCGGCTATAAATAAAACAAAACTGACCGGTTGTATGACATTCGACGCCCTCATAGAATTGAGCCATAAAATAATAGAATCACACCTTTTACGAGTCAAAACTGTCCAATATGGTTATCACATAGTTACGGATAACGGAGAAGTTTGTCCAGAGACAACAGAGGACTTGATGACGTCACTACTGGATAAGCTGTGGAAAGAAGGCAAAGTACCCGAGGATTGCAAGAAAGGATACTTATTCAAACTACCAAAGAAAGGAGACCTAAGTCAATGCAAGAACTGGCGCGTAATTATGCTCCTGTCCATCCCAAGCAAAATACTAAGCTGCATCATCCTGGAGAGAATCAAACATGCCAACATGGATGAAAAACTTCGACCGGAACAGGCTAGATTCAGGAGAAACAAGTCATGCATTGATCAGATCGCCACATTACGAATCATCAATGAACAAAGCTTGGAATGGCAGTCACTTCTCTATCTCAACCTCATCGACTTTGAAAAGGATTTAGACAGCGTCGATCGAGAAGGGCCTTGGCAACTACTTCGCTACTACGGTGCCACCGACAATAATACATCTCATCCAACAGCTGTACGACGATGCTGCATTCCAAGTAATCCACAACGGGAAACTCACGGATTCCTTCGAAGTGAGGACAGGAGCTGGCTGCCTACTATCACCAATGATTTTCCTGATTGCAGTAGATTGGATAATGCGACAAACAGTGGACAATGAGGAAACAGGCATAGAAATGGACTCACGCAAAAAACCTGGAGAATCTGGACTTTGCCGATGATATATGTCTGATTTCCCACAAACTGGAAGATATGCAAGCGAAAAGCAACGAGTTGGCAGAAGAAGCATCAAAGATAGGACTTCAGGTGAACATAGAGAAAACAGAGGTGATGAAGATTCCTGGCCAACACTAACAGCAGCAACAATAACAGACAACGATCACCATAAATGGGAGGAACCTGAAAGAAAAAACCTCTTTTACCTACCTACCTATGAAGCATCGTTTCAACCACACGCCGACGGAACTGACGAGGATATCAAAGCAACGACCGGGAAGGCAAGGTAAGCTTTCATTACACTCAAGTCTGTGTGGAGGTCAATAGCACTCAACATGAAAGTGAAAATGAGATCCGGATTTTCAACTCCAAAGTGAAGTCAATCAGTGCTACTGTAACAACAGAAGACAAGGGCCAGGCAACAGAACGTTTATTACGGAAAATCAACACGTATTTATAGATTTTGATGTACATTATTGTAGGTTAATGTTAGTAGAAAATACACTCTGTTGATTGGTTCTTTCCCACACAAAGTTAACCTTGCATCTCTTGTGGCTGTGTCAGCTCATCTATATGTTAACTGTATCCGCCTGTCCATCTTGACCTTGTTTTCACATGACTAACATTGACCTCAGTTACTGTCAACCAATTTGGCTAGCAACCATCTTTCACCACAACATGACTAATATTTGATACATAAACATTGACCTCAAATACTGTCAACCATTTCGGCTAGCAACCATCTCTCACCACACTACTATATGGATCAGAGACTTGGCGCTACGTCAAGAATGGCACTTCGAACAAACTACAGACCTTCATCAACAGCCAGTTGTCTTCGCTCTATACTCAAGATCAGATGGCCGACCAGAAAAGATCAACAACAGAGAGGGATCCCTGGCAATGAGCGAACCAACACGGCAGGAACCAACCGATTGTGAAACAAATAAACAGGAAGAAATGGAGATGGATGGATTGGCTGGCCATACTCTGAGGAAACAAGCCATCAAGTGAGTGACATCGCTAGACAAGCCATTGCTCGAGTGGAACCCGAAAGGAAAGCAGCGAGTTTGTCGTCAGTGCGAGGGTGGTGTATTTGGAGGAGGTCATGTGAAGAGGAGATGAAAGCGTGTGGGCAGACTTGGAGCCAGGTGGAGACTCTAGCAGAGAACCGAACGCAATGGAGACGCACGGCTGAAGCCCTGTATTCCTCTAGGAATTAAAGGAAACAATAGTAATAATAACACATAGTGTTATCCATTTGATCATGGGATCTCAGTGGAAACTCCATCCTTCACTGGGAATGAAGGTACATCCAATGCATGAGTCCCAAATAGCACGAACTTCATACACAATTCTCCTGCTAGCCACCATCAACCCTAATAAACATTAACAGCCTATTTTCTTCACATAAACAACTCACTGTTATTTGATATGTTGAAATCCCCTTGGATAAACTAATGCATATACGTAAATACAGTTAAAAAGTGTATAAATTGTCATTTACTGAAGCTCTGGCCATTCACATAGAAAAACCGGAGCTGTGCATACAAAAGAGGATTACTCAACCACTTCTACTGTCTTGGTAACAACTTTTTTGATTTGATTTTTTTTTGTGATTTGGATGACTTAATTTTGTTCCTTTGCTTGTCCTTTAATTGCTTATAATTCTTGTATTCATTTAGAACTCTTACGTAATTTCGTATGATCTACTTTGTTCCCATGTACACACTCATAAAACTATTCATACTATTACATAACTTCTTTTAACAACTGTTTGTGACAACTCATCACTTTTGTTACTACCCTAAATTCATTAGCACCTAATTTTCTTGACTGATTTTGTATTATGTAACTCGAATTACCAATCTTCACCTGTTTAGTTTAAATAACCATAACCAGTTGTATTTTTGTTTGATAAACTTATTGTACACATACATACAAAATAAAACATATATATTTGCGATTGTACAGCTAAGAAAATGAATTCGCCGCCGAAAAGAGACTCTTCGCTGATCTACGTGTTTTGTTTTTCATTAATTTACTGATAATCAATACGAGTAATCTAGGCTGAAATTAGTAGGCCAAATTCAAAATTGAATCGCATACAATTACAATCTTTCATAATGTATTTTTATATTTTTTAAAGGAAGTTTATTTATGTACAACATCTGACGGGTAAGCAAAAGGAATAAAAATAAAATAAATTGCCTTTATTTAATTAAATAAGAAAAAAAACTAAATAAAATAAAGAGAGCAGCTAATTACTACTCAAAAAATCAATCTTTTATCAGTAGTATGTAAGTGCACTGAAACCGTTGCTAGTTCATCAATTTACACGGAAATATAAAAATGTACACATAAGATCTGCCTGTAATACCTGCGTACATATGCAAACACGAATAATTCTGTATATATGAATGCATATACGGATATTCAGTTTCTTTGCTACCTAAAAGCACCACATAAATTTCACTTTTGAATGTGAATGACTTCATATTGCCCTCTTAAAATATGACATTGAACAACACTGTTCAGTGTTCACTGGTCAGTTTAAACAAAGACATGTAAGACAAATCTAATAAGGCTGGCTTTTTTCTTCACATATTTTTCTCAAAAACAAAAAACAGAAAAGGGGATTGTGAAAGTAATTTTAAAAAAAAACATTATGATTTGAATGAATTTATTGTCAATCTGTTTTCATACAAACTTTTAAAATAATTAACTAATGCATATATGATGAAACCGACAAGTTCAAAAAACTCAAATAAACCAATCACAGATATACCAATCCATAGTCCCATGTTGCCACCAATATCAGATAATAATTGAGCTAATGGGTATTCATTTTCTTCAAGAACCAATCTTCCATGCGGACTAACACGTTCTATCATTATTATGGCAAAATTATTACGTAACTGATTGAGCATTTCTTGACGTTTGGATTCATTGTGAAATATGTCTTTGTTGTATTCACTGAAATCATGCTTGTCATTGGCATTACGGCTATATGCTACAATATCACGATATGTACTCAATAAAAAGTTCGCCCTAGCTTCATTATACGCACTACCCCATAATTCCCCGATTGGTTTACGTACTATGCCTAATTGATTATACTTTACTTCATCACAGTATGGTGAACTTGCATAATATTGACACTGTTTAGCTTCTTTCAGACTCATATATACACTAGAATTGCTGTACTTTTTAAATACCCGGTACATACAATTTGAATTTCCCGCCAATTCAGATTCATTGAATACTGACATATTTAAACACAGGACTGGTTGTACAATTGATTCACTAGTGGAATTATTATTATTATTTTTATTGTAAGATATGTTAAATAAATCAGGAAAATAACCATACGGGAGAAATGGACTATAACAATGACATTCTCGTAGATATAAATATTGTGATAATAGTCGATGACATAGATCTCCACCAGTATCATTGACTAGGCGTTTTGTCGTTAAGTCGGCGTCGAATATAATTGATGAATACTTTCTGTTATGACATTTCTGATTTTCTTGGATGCGTTTTAGACGTACCATTTGCAACTGTACATGATTAATATATCCAGGGGTTAAATCAATGACTCCTGTTGTCGGGAAATGATCTGGTAATGTGATATATACATCAATTGTATGTGATGAATATGAGGAATTAATAATTAAATAACTGTGAAAATTAGATTTTATACCAAATGCAACTTGTTCTATTCCCTTCATTATTGATTTGTTTAAATAACGAGTAATCTAGGAAAAACAAATAGAATAATGGTAATAAGCATAACTGAGAAAAAAGGATGAATTTCGATAAAGAAAGAAAGACCAGATTTGCAGCATAAAATGATATCATCATTCTATTTCACAGGTTCTCATCAGCTGCAAACTACCTGAAATTACAATGGTTACAAATAACAACATTTCATACTTCAATGTTTGAAAAGTAATAGAGAAAACATTATAAGATGAACGCATCCGGAATATAAGTATTACAATTTTTAGTTTAAGTTACCATCAATTTATATACTATCGAAAAATATACTATGAAAAAATAAAAAGGTGGGGGGATGAGAGAAGACAGAAAACAGAAAAATCTAGGCTGCCCAAAAAGACTCTTCTCATATATCAAGAGAAGAACACGTAAGAGTGATGCTATCCCACCTCTTATGCTTGAAGATGACCAGACAAACATGGCTGAGGATAACTTGACTAAGGCTGAGGCTTTGTCCAAGCACTTTAGTCAAGTATTCTCTGATAATATTGATACCAGCTTTGTAACTTTTCCAGAAGGTAACTTGAAAATGGCACCCTTATACATTGGAAAGGATACTGTCCTAAAGTACCTTCTAAGGCTCAATCCTGGTAAGTCCAGTGGCCCTGATGAACTCCACCCACGTATATTAACAGCATTGGCTGAAAACATAGCCGACCCATTGTCGATAATCTCCAATATGTCTCTGGACCAGTCTAAATGTCCAAGAGACTGGAAAGATGCCATCATTAGTCCGGTCTTCAAAACTGGATCTAGAAACTTAGTTCAGAACTATCGTCCTGTTAGTTTGACCAGTATTGTTGTTAAAATACTAGAAAGAATAATTCGTGATTCTATCATTCAGTTCATTGAAGGGAACAAACTTTTCGCTGTGGAACAGCATGGTTTTAGAGCAGGTCATTCTTGCTTGACCAACCTTCTTTTGGCCAGAGAAAGTTGGGCAAGCTCAGCTGATGCTAATATACCGGTGGATGCCATATTCATCGACCTTAGCAAGGTGTTTGACAGGGTTTCTCATTCAGGTCTTCTAGTAAAGTTAGGTAGTATGGGAATCAATAAAGTGGTTGCCGACTGGATTCAAGACTTTCTAAAGGACAGAAGACAAAGAGTACGAGTTAATGGGGTTTTATCAACATGGGAATCGGTTAAGAGTGGCGTTCCTCAGGGTACAATTCTAGGCCCACTTCTTTTCCTGATTTATGTTAATGAGATTCCATCGGTAGTTAAGTTATCCTGCTTACTGTTTGCTGATGACATCAAGATATGGAGGGCTTAACACGATGACAGTGATCAACTTGCTTTGCAGGAAGATTTAAACTTGTTAAGTGATTGGTGTAAGCACTGGGCCTTGGAGATTAACTTAAGCAAGAGTGTAGTTATGCATGTATCTCATAGTCACGTGCACAATTACTCAATGAATGGCATTACTCTCCCAGTGGTCACTGAGTACAAGGACTTGGGAGTGGTTGTGCAGCATGACTTGAAAACAACAACAAACTGTAGAGCTGCAGCCACTAAGGGTTTTCGAATATTATGGGCCATACGCAAGGCTTTTGCGAATTTTGACGCTGAAATATTTCGTATATTATATCCGACTTATATCAGACCTCATTTGGAATATGGGGTCCCGGTAGCGAGCCCGTGTTTCAAATACGAAGTAGACTTATTAGAAAGGGTGCAAAGAGTAGGAACTAAGCTAATAAAGGGTTTCTCAACCCTCTCATATAAGGAGAAGTTAAGTCGACTGGGTTTATTTCCACTGCCATACAGACGACTTAGGGGTGACCTAATACTGGCATACCGTATCCTAAGAAATGATTTTGGAGCTAATTTATCTAATTTATTTCTTCCTTCTAGCACCAATCAATTGCGAGGACATCACCTCAAGGTTCAAAAACCACGGTCGAATCGTCTGCGTTTGGAGATCCGTTTTTCGCATCGAATTGTGAACCATTGGAACTCCCTTCCGGAACACGTCGTATCAGCGCCATCTGTTGATTCATTCAAGGCGAGATTGGACCTCCTGTGTGCAACAAATTGAAAGGACTAATACAGGCATATAGCCTACTATCCTAAATAAATTGTAAACTGTAAACATTGTCAACGTGGCAAGTCAGCAAGGTCAAAGTTCATCAATTTGAAAACTTGCTTAGTGAGTTGAGCCCACTAGTGTGTATGAGTAATCAGTGTAATGAAAGTGATATTTTTACCAAGGGAGTGAGAGATTGACTACACTCTCTTTCTGTGTGCATAAGTTTGGTCTGAGATGTTTGATTGCAATTGCTTCAGCAAATCGTAGTAGATTCACTGTCCTTTGTATGATTAATATTTTGAAGGATTTGGAAATCTCAACGAAATGACCCGTATCCACAAGGTGTCTGGTAATTGCACTTTGTAATTATCTGCTTTCATTTAGGCATAAGTTTCTCGGAATATGCTCTGAAAACCGGATAGAAGCCCTTCTTTCTGTCCTTCCGATGTACTTGCTGTCGCAGGTGCACGTAAATTTATAAATGCAGTTGGAGGTAACATCAGCAGGGTACTTATCCAGTTTCGATTGGCTTATAGAGCATGTAGTGCTGTATAGTGTTACCAGATTGGCTGCAGGGAAGCATCTCTTTATTGTTTCTTTGATCCTCTTTTCAATCTTTTGCGATACTGTTTCTCCTTTGTTTGGGAGGCAAATGAACACTTTCTTTTTTTCAACTGTTGGATACTTCTCTTTCTCATCTCTTTCTTTGCTGTACTTTAGGATAAATCCTTTTGGATACCCGTTTTCCCTAAGGCATTTTTCAACAAAGCTTAATTCTTCTTCTACCTTGTTAGGCGAACATAACTTCCTGGCCCTGTCGTACAGTGTTCTTACTAATCCCCGCTTATAGCTCATAGGGCAGAAGCTGTTGTAGTGAAGGCATTGTCTGGTCCAAGTTTCTTTTCTGTAGATGGACTTTTCGACCATTCCATCGTCCTTATATTCCGGATGCGTTCATCTTATAATGTTTTCTCTATTACCTTTCAAACATTGAAGTATGAAATGTTATTATTTATAACCATTGTAGTTTCAGGTAGTTTGCAGCTGATGAGAGCCTGTGAAATAGAATGATATCATTTTATACTGCAAATCTGGTCTTTCTTTCTCTATCGAAATTTATCAAGGGAACCAAATGTATGCAAAAGGATGAATGTTACTTTCAGTATACATTTCATCATCATTCATAGAATTATTGAACATTTAGGCAACATAGTGACTCTTCAGGATTGAACGGTCACTGTATCACTAGCAATTTAACTCACGACACAGATATGGAGTGGATTTTATGGCATGAGGTTGTTAACTTCACTCCCAGTCTTTCCTCTTTTTTTAACTGGCTTACTACTAGTTACCAAGCTGGATAAGATATAGGGGAAAATCGAACCTGGACGGACTGTGTGTGGTTAGTGCGGGTTCTACTACTGTAACACCAACATACATAGTAGTTAGCTAGCAACATCCAGCGTCAATCACCATCAACGGGGGGGATTTGAAAGAGGTTACTTCATTCACTTATCCAGGGAGGGAGCATTGTCTCAATCAACTACAGGAGGAACGGCCGAGGATGTCAAATCGAGCGAGAATCGGGAAGGCGAGAAATACATTCATCAACCTGAAAGCAATCTGGAAATCTTCTGCACTAAACCGGCATAAACAACAAAATGATTCGGATTTTCAATACAAACGTCAAGTCAGTCAGTCAGTTCTTCTATACGGATGGATGAGAAAGTTGGCGGCGGGTCACAAAGAATATTTGCAACAGCCTGTTGCAGACCTTTATCAACAACTGTCTTCGCTGGCTCTATACTGAAGATCAGATGGCCGCAGGAAAGAACAAGAACCAACAAGAAACTATGGGAACAAACAGAACAAGAACCAATCGCCCGTCAAATATGCAGGAGAAAGTGGAGATGGATTGGACACTCACTGAGGAGGCCGTTGGGTGACATTGCGCGTCAGGCCAGTGCTTGAGTGGAACCCGAAAGGGAAGCGGCGAGTGGTTCGTCAGTGCAAGGGTGACATGGAGGGGATTGTGTGAAGCGGAACTGAAACATAATGGACTAACATGGACGCAGTTGAAAAGTTTAGCAGAAGACTGAAGCAAGTGGAGAAGTGTAGTTGAAGACCTATGTTCCACTAGGAACCCAAGGGAACAATAATAATAATAGTTTTAACTCACTTATTTCCCAGCTCATTTATTGTGCGAAAGCTGTCTATACTGTCTAGTCCATGTAGCAGAGGGAGAACGACTGAACTGTCTGCATTGGTAGACAGAAGTGCCAAGAGATATTTATTTCAATAGATTAAGCTCAAATCTGCATCAGTGTATCTATGATATTGTGTTTTATATGTCAAATAAAATTATTCTCTATTATAGAAGGCATGATTTACTAACAATGTTTTGAGTCTGTAGGCATTTGGTTACAACATTAAAACATTTAGAGAAGTATTAAAAACCAGTAAGCATTGGCTAAGAGCTTTGATCTGTATTTAAACTATTCAGGTAGCGCGTTCCCATAGTTTGATCAAGGGTTAAATGTAAGACCTACAGACAACAACAAGAGTTTGTGGGCATTTCAGGTAATTTTATTGTACATTTCGTGGTCGTGACGCTAAATATTACTGTGCATCAGAACTCCATCTTAGTAGTAAAGCCAAATAATTCTGAGGGTCCTGTATTCAGTCCCTGATGGTGGGTGGGTGAGTTCATGCTTGTAGGCAGTTCTGAAGATTTGCGCAAACTAGGACAATGCATCTCTGTTAGGTTTTATTTAGTTTTCACTAGTCCTTTAACTTTGTTGTCGTTACAATAAAGGCCAGTTATGCGGCAGATACATTTTTAACGTAGAATAACAGATTAGTTATGGGGTGTCAAAATAAATAGTCGTATTTGTGTGATAAACGTGCTGGTTGGCTGAATTCGATTACAAAATATTGTAAAACGGG